TAATATTTAAAATATTTAAAATATTAAAATTATTTATAAAATTATTTAAATACGCTTAATAATTTTTTTTTAGAGTTGATTCATCAAATTTATTAGTTTATTAAGTATATTTAAATCTTCTTATTAGTACTCTTGAAATTTTAATTATTGAGAAATCTTAATTTCTTTGCCATCAATTTATATTATGTTGTTATCTTATATTTGTCTAACAAACTTTGATATTAGATATTGCATTCGATCTACTTCACCATTTTCCAGCGTTGGTATCTCACAGTTGGCCATCGCCATCGAGTTCTATTTCGCGCTTAAAGATTTTACTCATTTTAAGAGCGGCTCAAACACAACCCCCATTTTTCAGGAAAAGTAACCTTTCATTTTGGAGGCGACAGATATATAATTGTCAGTATTGCTTTTTTTTTTCCTCTTTAATTCTTAACATAATAATTTTTTCTTTTAGCATATTTAATAATTATTTGGCTAGAAACAAATTTAATTTTAAATTCTTCACAACCCTCGTAACCTATTGGGGTTTTTTTTTTTTTTCCCTTTCCCATCTTTCTTTCTTTCTTTCTTTCTTTCTTTGTTTTTAGTTTGTTCTTCTTGATTAATTTAATCTATTAATTGCTCTCTTTATCGATTGAAATTGTAATTCAAGGCATAATAGTGAAGGCCCACGTCATCAAAGAACATAAGCATCGATCATGTGTAAAGATGCGAGACTTTTTCCAGTCATTTACAGAGGAGATCCAACAACGCTTTGTGTCATGGGCAGAGACGCTTCAACTGGCGTATGAAGATGTTCGACACAGGATGCAAGAGCCGATTCAAGAGACTGAAGAGATGAATCTAGAGAATCAACAGACGATTCAAGAGATTGGACAGACGAATCAAGAAACGAATGGAGATTTTCAAGACTTACCATTTAAAGCCAAATGCGGTATATATTATTTTAATATTTGCAATTTTCTCGAATGACTTTGTAGAATTTGTTGGGTAGATGCGTGGCGCAAAAGTTGCTCTTTGGATTTCTTGCTTTTCCTTATAATTTGGTAAAAGTCAGTTTTTGTTCATATGTTATAAGTTAAAAGGCAATTGGAAATTAGGGATGGGGAATTATTCATACAAAGTTGGGATTCGAAACTTGCCAAGGTCTATAATGCACATTGCTAGTGCAGTAAGCGCTACAAGTGCTTATTGCATCTATATATGAACTTATTAATTATTTATTCATTTTGAATTTTACTAATTCACTACAAAAGTACTATATGCAAACTAATTTTTTAATCTATGTATGAGTCCTTTTCTTTTCCTTTTTCCCTCTCTTTTGTGCTATATCTTGATTCTTATTTGTAGAAATAATATAGCAAATCTATGTTCTTTTTTTAATCAACATAGAAAATTTATTTCGATTCTTATTTTTAATCAGCATACATATTTTTGTAGAATTTGTTATATGCTTTCTTTTTTGTGTTGTATCTTGATTCTTAGTTTCATAATGATTAATTCCCTTTTACCAAAAAAAAAAAAATGATTAATTCTTGCTTTTTGTTTTATAATTGGGATTCAATTCTTTTTTGCTTCCCATATATGCTGAGTTAAAAGGCAATCTTTTTGGTTAAAGATGATGGAAAAAGTATGTAATTAATTATTGAAGTTACGACTTCATTCCTTCTGAGTAATGAATATAATTCATTTATTGCAGCGTTTCTATTAGGACAACTAGTGGCATTCGTCTTTGTTGGTAAGCAGTAACATCCACTCAATTAGCTTTTTTTCTTTTTCTTCTTAATTTATGTTAATTGTACTTATAAAATCCATTCCTTCAAAATTCTAAATATTACCCACTCACTGCAGCACCAGTCGGGGTACTATTTATCTCACTTTTGCTAATTGTCATGGTACTATTTATCTCCCTTCCGCCAATTGGTAAGCAATAATGTCCACTCAATTAGACTTTTACTCCCTTAATTTATTTTAATGTTATGTCTTCAGCAATAAAGCTTCTTAATAGATGTATATGTTATTCCTTTTGCTGTTTATACTTTGGATTAAGGTCATTTTATTTTTATTCTTGTATTATGAGTTAAAGGCAATATTTTTCACTAAAGATCATAGAAAATATTTTTCACTAAAGATCATAGAAAGAGAATCAATTATATTGTAGTTATGAAACTCTCATTCTTTCTAATCTTGAATATAACTCATTCACTGTAGCATTGGCAGTCGAGATCCTACTTACAGTGCTAGTGCTCCTTGGTATACCAATCGTTGGTAAGCAATAAGCAACAGCATCCACTCAATGAGCGTACACATTTTAGCTAACGGTTATAAAGGCAGTAAATTGCAAATATGAAACTCATTCTTTCTGATCCTAATTATATACTCATTCATATATTGTAGTGGCTCTACGCCTACTGGTTTCAATGCTCTCAAGGATCCTTGGTAAGAAATTATACTACGTCTACTCAATGAGCCCTTTTCTTTTCTTCATTTTTGTTCTTTATCTTGATTCTTCTTTACGCTAAAGTTACTTTTCTTCCTCTTTTGTTATTAGCAAAGAATATATATGCTGGAAAGTTGATGGATAAGTATGCCTGTGAGGTTATACGTTTAATATGTCAGCCATTATCATTATCAGATCAGAATGATCAGAACCTTTTTGTGCAAAGTGATGCCGTCGACGCAATCTTCCAGGCTATCAAGAACGACATCCCACTCATTGTGAAAGAAATTACAAAAGCTAATAAAAATATTTTGTGGAGAAGCTTAAATCTTGAAGAGTCAAGAAACATGTTTGCTTCGGCTATAGAACATCGTCAAGAGGAGGTGGCACGCCTTCTTTATGAATTTGCGAATGTGGATACAAACATGGTTATGACCAGAGATGAAGATGAAAATAATATATTACATCTAGCAGCAAAGTTAGCCCCTCGTTATCGATTAGGTCGCATCTCTGATTCAGCTTTTCACTTGCAAAGTGAACGACGTTGGTTCAAGGTAATTTTTTATTTTTATTTGTTTTTTCTAATTAAGTACTGAGAAATCTTATATAATTCCTTATTTCATATATTATGAAACACTGTAGGGGGTAGGAGAAATTGTTCCACGATCTTACCACGAACACAAAAACAACAATGGGGAAACTCCTCTGGAAGTATTTGTTAGAGAACACCAGGATTTGCTAAAAGAAGCAGAGGAATGGGTGAAGAAAACAGCAGAATCTTCTACGGTCATTGGTGCTCTTATTATTACAGTTATGTTTGCAGTGGCTTTTACTGTTCCTGGTGGGAATGAAAGCAGTACAGGTTTCCCCATACTTTTGCACAAAGCTCCGATTCCATTTAAGATATTTATGGTATCAGATGCAGTTTCTCTTTTTACTGCATCCAGTTCAGTGATAACGTTTTTGGGGATTCTGACTACATATCGTACTGATGAAGATTACCACAAACACTCCCTCGTGATTTGGGGCATTACTTATCTCTTCATCTCTATTGCAACAATGACCATAGCATTTTGTGCTGCTCTTTTCATCATGCTACAAGGTCGATTGGTGGTAGTCATTCCTGTAACTCTGGTTGCTGGTATTCCTATCACAGGTTTCGTGCAGTTGCAATTTCCTCTTCTGGTTGACATTTTTCGTTTGATTCTTAGGCCAAATATTTTTGGTAGGAGGGAAACATCCTTGATGAGCTGGACAGCAGACACGGTCGCTTTGGGGCTGAGGGGGGCTTTAGGCGCTTTAAAGAAATGATTTTTTTTTTTTTTTGAATACATGCATGTTGCTTTGAATAAATGATTGTAGTCGTAGGTGTCTAACTATGCTTTGACTGTTGGTTATATTTGATTAATTGATTATACTTATGTATTTGCTTCAGATGGAATAAATATTTGGTGGATATATATATATATATATATATATAAGATTTTAAACTTTCAAATGCTAAATTCTTCTTCAATTGTTTTTTTTATCTTCAATTCAT